AACTCCAGATCTGAAATGATAAAGCAGGACACAATTGTGGTGTACAGGATTAACAGGTATCTGGTCTGGGATGTATCCTGCTCAGTGTGCCATTTTCCAAGGGCGATGTTGCTGCCTGGTCCTCTTAGACATGGTGAGCCCTTTGTAAAGGGGGTGCTTCTAAGAGCTAACCCTATGCATCCCAGTGTCTGCTGTCTGTGAGGACGTGGCCTGGCTCAAGTGCACCTGTGCTTTCATAGGGTGTAACACACATGCACACGCCACCAGCCTCCAGCCCATCCAAGCACTGATCCTGCTTTCTTTCAGCATTTTGAATAAACTGTCCCATTCTCTCCTGGCCTGAAAGGCTTCTGTTGAGAAATTCGCTCATAGTGTTATGGGGTTTCCCTTGTATGTGACGTCTCTCTTTCTCTTGCTGCTCTTAAAATTCTTTCTTTGTCTTTGACTTTTGACTATTTAATTATAAGGTGTCTCCGTGTAATCCTATTTGGGTTCAACCTGTTTGGGGCCCTTTTGGGCCTCATGGATGTGAAATGTCCATTTCTCTAAGTTTTCCACCATTATTGCTTCAGATACACTTTCCATCCCTTTCTCTTTCTCTTCTCCTTCTGGAATTTCCATAATGCGAATATTGTTTCTTTTCACCGTGTCCCATAATTCCGCCCAGCTTTCTTCTCTATTATCCTCCTTTTTTCTTGTTGCTCCTCTGACTGGGGAATTTCCAGTGTCCTATCCTCCAGGTTGCCGATCCTTTCTTCTGCATGGTCCAGTCTACTCTTGAAACTCTCTATTGAATTTTTCAGTTCGGTTAGTGTATTTTTGAACTCCAGGGCTGTTTTGTTATTGTGGTTGTTTTGATGGTGGCTGTTTCCTTGTTGAGCTTCTTGTTTTGTTCATGCATTGTTTTTCTAGTTTCATTTAATGGTCTGCGTTTTCTTGTAGTTAATTAAGCTTCCTCTGGAGGACTATTCTGAATTCTTTGTCTGACAGTTCATAATTCACTCTTTTTTAGGGTCAGTCATTGGAGCTTTATTGGTTTCCTTTGCTGGTGCCATAGTTACCTGGCTTTTCATGACCCTTGATTCCTCACGTTGGAATCTGTGCGTCTGAGTAGTGGGGCTCGTCTTCCAGGCTGTGCAGTTTGCTTTGGCAGAGACAGTTCCTCACCAGTCAGCTTGGCTTGGGCTCGGCTTGGGTTTCTGGGCGTGTCTGCTGGTAAAGCCCTTGGGCAGGTGGGCCTGCTGTTAGGGTTTATTTGGGGTGAGGCATCTGTTTGAGCTCAGAGGACAGGGATGGGGGCTGTGCCCCGGCCCAGAACAGGTGGACAGGACGGCTGGCTGGGTTCCTCCCCAGGTGGGGCTGGAGGGTGGGCTCTGCAGTCGCCTGGGCTCTCTGGTCAGGCTCATTGGATGGCCAGGACTGCGCCCGTATTCAGTAGTGGACGGGGTGTGAGTTAGCTTATCTCCCTGGCAGGGCAGCAGGCTGCGACCTAGGGCCTGCACAGCTCATTGTTGGGGCCCTGAGTGTGCACTGAGGGTGAGGCCACTGGCTCTGCTCTGCAGACAGAGGAGGCCCCAGGCTGTGCTCCCTGTTCAGGCGCCCACGTGCGGAGGGCTGTGGAGTGGGCTTCACAGTGTCCCCTGTGGTCTGGGTGGATTCCCGGGGGACAGGCTGTACTCGGTGGTGAGCAGGGCTGTGAGGTAGGTCCCCTGCCCAGGTGCAGTGGGTGAAGCAGCTTGAAAGCCAGTAAAGCTCTTTGTTTGTCATCTTACCTCAAGCTGACCCGCACCCCAGTTCCCTGGCTGAACAGGGCCACAGGCTTTGCTCAAGTGCCGGCAGGCACACATCTTCCAGGACTGTCCCAGTGCTTCTGGTCGATGGGTCTGGAAGGCTCTCTCTACGTGGGTGGGCTGGGACGCAACACTGGGCGTGGGCTTGGGCAGAGCAGGCTCAGGGCCAACAGAACTCCTCCCTGAGGGTCCGATGCAGGCAGGTATGCACCCCATCGAGCTCCGTCGTCAGACTGCGCCCTGACTTGGTTCTGCAGGTGAGCAGAGCTGCAGGTTGGGGCCCCCACCTGGGTGATGCAGGTGTGAATTCCATCCCGAGATCCCTGTGCGGATGTCACGAGCCCCTCCCCCCTCTCCATCACAGTCAGTCCCCAGTGTTGTGCCCTCCAGATTCCACTGCAGTCCCCGTGGGGCGACGTCAGAATAGGGGCTCCCACATAGTGACCCAGGATTCTGGGGGTGAGGGCCGGTTGTTCCCGGGGTCCTCATTTCCCACTGGATGAGCCTGAGGCTTGGGGAGGCCTGGGGGAGGGGCAGTGTGGTCAGCATCACCTGCAGCCCCTACTCTCCACTCCCACTGTGTCCTTCTGGGCATCCGTCTGGGTCTCTGGGGTGCAGGGGTGGCTTCAGCCTCACCCCTGGGTCTGGGTTCTCTCAGTGTGTCTTGGTCTTGAATAGTTGTTCGTGGTTCTTGTGAGGAATGACCTTCTTCTACGTTGGGGACGACATGGTGATGTCACCCCTCACACACAAGTTTTTCAGGAACACAGCTGTTGTAGAAAATGAGACATTTATATTTGCTTTGGAGCCAACGCTGCTGTAATGTTTTTGGTAACGCTTATAATTGTGATGTTGTAAAATGCTTATGTGAAAATAGGGATGTTGAATAATCTTACCAGAGAATGTTCAGGGTTTATCAAATTGCTTTCTGTGTTTAGCAAAATAAAATACCGCATGTCGTGTAGAAATGGCAGCAAATCTTCTAGTGCTGTGATGGCTAACAGACTGCGAGCTCCTTGGTGGGAATCACACAGAGATGTCACACTGTTTCCAAAGCAAGGAAATCCATTGATAACAGTTCTCTCAGCCTTATTTGATGGTTAAAGTGCTTTCTAAAATTCTTTTACTTTAATAAGTGTATTTCTTAGCAAGAACAGGTCAGCGTCTTGTGATTGATAAACAGTAGTTATTAATGTGCATGCTCTGTGGGTCTGTTTTAAACTGTAATTTGATATGATTTTTTCCTTATAACCTGAGCTTAAATTACTTTTTTTTGTCAATTGTATATATGAATATTAAAGGGAAAAATAATACACATTATTTCTTTTTCATTTACTAGACCAGGGACTGGGTCATATTCTTATTCCAGCAGGCAGCATGCTTCTTGGCATGTGAAGAGGAGCTCAGAACATATTTTTTAAGTGATTAAAAGCCCATATTACGTCTTCCTGCACAGCTGGTGGAGTTTCGTGTTTGTTATTCCATCAGGTTGCTTTACCGTCTTGAGAGGTTCCGAATGTTTGACTTGGAGGTGTGCCTAACTACCTGTCACCGCCAACATGCTTGTAGTTCTGACCTTTCACCATCTGGACCTTCCTCGGGAACACTTCACAACAAGATAAATGTTAAAATTAATGTTCACAGAGCCCTTTTGACCAGAATTCTCCAGGAGCCTGTGTGTATGAGTGTGTGTGTGCAACTGTGTGTGTGTGTGTGGTTGGTTATAATAATGCTTGTCGAGAATTTTAAAACTGCAGAAAGTAACAAGGAAAGAATATTTACATTAATCCCACCACCCGCGTATAATCACCGTTAATATTTTTCTGTTTCTTTCCAATTTCTTTTCTGTGCGTGTGTGTTTGTATATGTAGACACACATATATGCCTATTGCCTTGCATGAAGAAGGAGCTTTATAAGTATGTGAAAAACAAATGTTTTAATATATATAATAATTTGTATTTTAAAAATTAAGATCATAAAATATATACTGTTTTGTGTCCTTACTTTGATAATAAATTCTCAAGATATCCCAGAAAATTCCCAAGATATTTTATAAAAAGTATAGTTTTGACTTCATAATCATATATGTATATATGTGTATATGTATATATAAATATCATTTATTTAACTTTTCTCCCATGTTAATATTACTTTGCATTTTTTGCTGTAATAATTGTGTGATGTCCATTTTCACCATCAGCTTTTATCAGGACCACTTCCTTAGCATATTAACCCTAGAGAAGGAGTTATTGGAACATAGAATATAAACTTAAAACAATTATTAATCTTTTTGCCGGATTTTTATTATTTAAAGTGATATTTTTATTGAATTACAAAGGATAGTTATTCATCTAGAAAAGCAGAAAACTAAAGTACAAAGAAAAATGGGAAGAAATTATTTATAATCCCGGCACCTAAAGATGACTTCATTTACGATTTTGATTTACATGATTTTAGTGTTTTTTGTTTCCATTATATATTTTACCAAAAAGGATCATTTTGTTTCCTAAACTTTTTTTCCCCACTTAGTGTAGCATTAACATAGCCTTTCTCTGCCATTCAGCAGTCTTCTGCAATGTAATTTTATGAGCTGTTACTAAAACGACACGTCTGTACAGTGCATTTAATCAGCCCTCTCTTCAGTTTGTTTCCACTATTTCGCTATTATGAAGGGTTCTAGGATAAACTCTTGGGCACATCACTGTAATTGCATTAAGACAAATTCCTAGGAGAATGGCTGGTTCAAAGTATGCAAATAATTTTTAAGGCTTTTGACAGTTTGCACGTTGCCTTTCGGCAGGTTGTACCAACTGGCATTCCCACAAAGAGGAGGTAGGAAAGTGAAAGGAGATTACAAAAAAAAAGTTCAGGTCCTTCGCCTTAAAAGTAACCAAATCACCTTCTAGAGAACCTGTGCCTGTTCTCCCTTCTTTGAGCGGGGGCTGGGGGCACACGTCCTGCGTGTCATCAGTGGTTGGTGATGGAGTGTGTTCATAAGTCTGTTCTAACCCAGGAAAAGCTGGGGATGTGAGGTGATGTGATTGTACCAGATGCTCACAGAACGCCAGCGATAAGGCTCCTTGCTGTTAGTTGCTTGGTCTTCTGATCATCGGTTTAAGTAATTAGCCTGCTTCTTGGATTTATCTTCAATTGCATAATTTTTCAGTCACTAATTGTGTCAAGAACAGCCCTTGTGTTTTCTCTTCCAGCCCCTGCGGTGGCCACGCATGAGGCCTGGTCTTGGGAGCAGTACTTGAAGGAACAGGAGGCCGTGGCAGCGCCCGTTGAGCTGTTTTCCAAGGTGAACAAATCCCTGAAGGTCTTACAGTTTTGCAGGGAATCCACACTTAAGAGAATCCACTGAAATGAAATCGTTTGCCTAGATAGCATACCAATTTATCTGACTTGTAGACTTTGCTGGAGATTGACATAACAAAGCTAATCCAAGCCTTAGTGATTCCGTGTGTGCTCTGGGGCCGGCCCGCCTGGGTTGAAACCTAGCGCTGCCACCTCGGGCAGGCCATCCAGTCTCTCTGTGCCTCGGGGTCCTCGTTTGTAAAGCAGGGGAATCACCACACCTGCCTCCTTGGGTCGCTGTACGTGTGAAGGACGTCGGATATAACAGGCACGTGGTAGACACCAAGCGTGAGTCCTTCTTCTTCTTCGCCGATGTTACCTGCATCTGTCCACCCAAGGATCAGTGCCAGGCATCTGTTTTGATGTGCTGCATGAAGTGGTGGGTCAGGCAGCATGTTGGAGGGGACAGTGAACCCCCTAAAGCAGGTTGTCCCTGACTGTAGGGACGCCCGGAGCAGCCCCGGTAGACTTGCTCCACCCAATGACTCCTGGCACCAGGGGCCTGCAGCTCTGGGGTTCATCTTGGTACCCAAGGTACCAAACCTTCCAATGCCCTTTCTCTTCTTCTCGGGCTGTGTTTTCATTATTTCAGGGGCGATCTGAATTTTTAAAAATCGCATCAGATTTGCATCATTATATTGCATTTTAACCAGCAGAGAGAAGCTAAAACTTTTTATTTGCTTCACTTTTCATGACATCCGTTGAGTTACTTGTAGTACGCTTTATTATGTGAGAAGGCTAGCAGTTTTAATCTAGGACATGGCAGTAGAACCGGGGAGAAGAGGTGTAGCCGGCACGGAATGAAAGCAGAGCCAAGTGTTGGCACCTCACAATTTAAGACATACTGAATATCGACTTGTGGGTTCTCCACCCAGTCCTCATACCAGGTGCTTCCAGGGAGCTTTGGAAAACATGGACGTGCATGTTCCTGAGACCTGCTGAACTAGAACCTCAGGGTGTGGCTGGGGAGGCCATGGGTTGGAAGCCTCCTCGGGGCTCCTGTGTGTGGGTAGAGGTCCCCTGGGGGAGAAGGCTTAAGGTCTGTGCAGGTTCTGCTGAGGACTCGGGTCCTGCTGCCCCCACTGCCGTCATGTGACAAGACTTAGGGCGTTCGTTCCACTAAGCGTGTAAGTTCCCGAGGTGACAGGATGCACAGTGCCTGTTCTCAGTGTGCTCTTGTCACCAGCTGTGTTGAGTGGCTTCCGGAAACCTCTCCTTAGTTCTGAGTGTAGATGCTCTTTACAGGGGGTTGGCTTTGACCGGGGTGACCCAGTGTAACTTGTAGTCACCCTTTCCAGCTCGCCCTGTGCCGTCTCATGCCCTTCCTGCAGTGGTTACTCCAGGTCAGAGGATAGAGGGCTCAGGCCAGGAGCCAGCGAAGGCCTGTGCATTTCTGTGACCTCCAAGGGCAGATGTAGCCTAGCTGGGGTCCAGGATGCGAGGGCACAGGCCAGGCTGTGACCCGATGGCTGTGCTTGGTGAGATGACCGTCCAGGATCTCAAGGCGGCCAGAAGCCATGAAGGCGGAGATTGACCAAGAAGGGCACAGTGTCCTAGGAATCAGACCTGCGTGTGTCCTCGGACCAGGACCCCAGGACAGGGATCCTCTCTTACCTCCACCAGGACCCTCTGGGACTGTGTCCGATGTTTGGATGTTGGGGGTGAAGTGTGTGTGGTTCCCAGGGCAGGGCGAGTTCTGGCCGATGGCAGCAAAGTGCTAGATCCCCGTCCAGCTCCCACCTTCTCCCCTCATCTCAGCCAGTGTGTGTTCACTTTATTTCTCAGACTTTCTTCTTTCAGATCCTTTAAGGCCCATCAACTCACGCAGAATGGAGTTTCTCCCCAGATTCCCCTTGGGTCCTAGTGCTGACTGAGGCACCTCCAGGGCAAGTGTGGGATTTCTGCCCTGAAGTAGATCCTGAGGCTGCGTTGGGGACCGTGTAGTGATGGGCTGTGGGCCATATAGCCTCCCCCTTGACCTTCTGAGACCCAGAAGGTCAGGGGAGGGGAGCAGGGGGCAGGGCACACCATCTGCATGGTTCCTTGGCTAAAACTATGACTTCCTCAAGCTTCTGAGCTCTAACCCCTGTCAGCTCTGAAGGTGACGGTGAGGCATTAGCACAGCAGGCAGCAGCCGCATCTGCTGTGGTGGCCGCCTTTCCCTTCACTCGGAGTTTCACAGTCAAGCCACTCACGTGTGGCTTGACAGTCAAACTCAGGCTCCGTGTGTGCAAAGCACCACATAAGACCTGGACAGAAACACTAGTGTGCTTGTGACACGGACTCTTAAAAATCTAGTTGGGGTGTAAGATATGTCCAGAGAACATGATAACAGCACGAGGGAGAATTGTTGATTGTCCTTGGAATATGCAAGTAATGAGCTTACTAGGTGTTTTGTGCTGAGATGGGGCTTCGTACCACCTGCGTGTGAAGGGGAAGTCATCACCTATTACATCTGGTTTGTCCTGAGGATGGAAGATGTTGCCCTAACTGAGCATTTGTACATATATATATATATATATGTTCTGTATGTACTATATATACACAATACATATATTGTGTGTGTGTGTGTGTGTATATATATATATGTAAGATGAAGTAAGCATGGTTTATGATCGAAAATAGGTTTCAATAGAATAAAAAGGGCAGGTGGTACACGCCTCCTCCTTCCAAGCAGGAGGATCAGACTGAACTCAGTTTTGTGTTGGTATTGTGCTCTTTACTATTAATGTTCATTTTCATTGTGTAAATATTATAACCATGGTGTTCAGGTCAGCCAGCTGAGATGGAACTCTTCAGCTTTTAATAGTGAAGTGTTGAAAATAAAACTTAGAATACTTTGCATATCCTGAATGGAAAACTACTCAAAAGAATATTGCTTTACTTTTAATATATAGTTTCCATTCTAATATTCAAGTTTTAGAAAACATACCAATGACACACACAGAAACACACACTGTCAATTCTGTCATGCAGATCAGATACGGATTCTACCAAGAAAATGTGTGGGTATTTTTAAGGAAGAGTACACTTATTTCATTTGCACGTGGGTTTTTTTGCATCTTGTAGGTCTATTTTAAATATCTTTTTGTACAAGACAAAGTTTTTCACTTTTTATAATTTATTTTACCACCTGGAGTAATGAGTATACAAGGATGTAAACACCTTCTGTTGACGTAGAAAATTTTAAAACATTTTCTCTTCATTACTGGTGGAATGTGCCAATCTCGATTTGATTTAAACTTTAAAAGATTGTTTTGAGGTTGGTTTTAAGAACTTTTCTCTGTCCTCTCTCCCTGACAGTCATCTCCTCATCAGATGTGTCTCCCTAAAGCCTTCTTCCTTCCTGTCGATCGTCACAGGTCCACACCTGTCGGCCTGGAGTCGAGGCCGCGGGGTCTGGCCCGTCCACACGGGGCTTCTCTGGGCCTGTGGGGCTGGTCCCCACGCTGGCTCCGCTTGACTATTCCATCTTTATCCAAGTTTGCAGGCCTTTTGTGTCTCTCTTGTTCTCTGAACCTCATGGGTCCGTGCCCCCCTCAGACGCCCCTCTTTCATGAAGCTGCCCCGGCCTGCCCACCCTGCCCTGTCTGCTCGGACCTGCCAGGCGCCTCCATCTGCACATCTGAAGGGCGGGGGACGGGACAGGAGTAGCATGAAGACGGGACCCAGATCTCCACATGGGGTCAGATCACTGTCGGGCTCCAACTGAGGGAGCACAGCCGCCCTGGGGTTGCCAGGTAGATTAGGCCCCTGAAAAGCAGGGAGACTTGCACATTTTAAAAATAGTTTGGTATTTCAGAACAAAATGAAAGTGATCATGAGAAAGTTAAAAGTCTCTGGGATGTCTTCATATATCTTTTATAGTTTAGTAATATAGTTCTAATTTGAATTCCATGTGGCTAGGTGTTGTATTAATTTCCTTTTGCTGCTGTAACAAATTACCACAGTGGCTTGAAACAACACAAATTTATTACCTTAAAATTCAGAATGTCCCAAGTCTAAACTGGGGCCAGCAGGGCTGCATTCGTTCTGCAGGCTGTGGGGAGGATCTATTTCCTTGCCTATTCTAGCTTCTGGGGGGCCACCTGCATCCGTTGGCTTGTGGGCCCACGTCACTGCAGCCTGTTTCCATCCTCGCGTCTCCTTCCCTGGTCCTTCTACCTCCCTCTTATAAGGACCCTTGTGATGGCATTGGGCCAGCTGGACATTGCAGGACCTTCTCCCCATCTTCAGATTCTTCACTTAATCACGTCCACAAAAACCCTTTTGCCGTGTGAGATAGCAGCATCGCAGGTTCCAGGATTAGGACCTGCACATCTTCGGGGGCCACTGTCCTGCCGACCACAGGTGCCACCATCTCCTTTCCATTGCTGGTGCTTCTCTGTCCCGGCCCCTGGCCCGAGTGACTTCTTATGTGTCTGTTCCCTCGCCTTATCCTCCCGTGATTCCGCTCTCCCCACCTGGGGTGAAACAAGCGTTGCAGCGTCCTCAGTGGCTCCAGCCGAAATGCACACCCGCCCCCGCCGTGGTCTCTGCTTCCCAAGAGCCTTGCGCGCTGCGGCCGGGCCTGGCCGCCCTCCAGGGCCTCGGTCGGTCGCCCCCTGTCTCCTAGGAGGGCGGCTCTCTGAGGCATCTTCCCTCACTCCCGTCAGGAGGCGGTCACCCCTGGGATGGATATGATGAGACCCTCTTCGCTTCCTGTCACCAGCCTTCACTCCCTGCACCGCCCTTCCTCCTTCCCTTGTTGCCCTGGACGAAGTTCCCTCCTCCATCTGGCATCCCTTTACCTGTGCGCAGAGCCCTCCCAGTCCTGCTTCCCGGGAGATCACGGATCCGCTGCATCGGTCCTCACCCTCACATGGGTCCTCACCCCCCAGGTTACAAACACGCCTGTCGATTCCAGCTTGAAGATGAACACTGCCCTGGGCTCTGCATTTTCCT